AATGGTTCGAAGAAGGGTCTCAGTCGAGGAACAAATGCATTCGGTACGCGAAAGCCTTGTTTTTATCACGACAAGGTTTTCATTACCACTCCTCAAATGGAAGTCTCCCGAGAATGTGTACCTACATGGATCTGTCCAAAGGCACATGAAGGAAAATGGAACTGACGTTGTGGGGGAGAACCCTCGAGACTTTTGATGTATAGTCTGGAAGAATCTGACTAAATTTTACGAAAATCCTCTCAAGCAGCGATGTCTCTACAGCTAACATATAGTTGTGGAATCAGTATTACAACAGCCTGTCGTTCCGAAGAATACCTGGACCTGTGGGACAATCCATCACCACCAGAAGTTGGCCTTGATGCCATGAGTTCCACCAACGGATCCCGAGCATCACCACAATTCTCGCCGACCGCGCTTGGAATACAACGTATGTGAACCTGAAAAATGTCTACTCATCATCTGAAACATGTCAAGGCCCTGTCACCGTCGTACGGACGTAAAAGCTGTCTTAGTACTCTCTGCATCAAAAGGTTCATCCACAGGCTGTCCTGCCATCTGGACTGAATAAAATTTTCTGGTTGCATGATATGCGTCCACTACGCTAATAAAATTGCCGCCCAGGCCTCTCGCAATATCGATGTGGTTTATACCTCGTATGTCGATCCACAAAAGCCTGGTGAGATGCTCGTCCCAACGAGCTTCACGTCTGCTTGGCGAGAGTATACAGGACGAGGACATCTGTGAGACGCGAATTGCCTAGACCGATTAATCCGATGACTTTCCCATCTAGTGGCTTGACCACTGCTATGGTGCTTGAGGGCTGGTCGACTGTATAAATGGGATTCGCGGCCGAGATTGGAAAGATCAGCGCCGGCCGAAGCTGGTGCTTCCACCTGGCCTCGAGCGACTCCAGAAACGGCCATGAAAACCGCGGAGCAGGGCCCTTGGGACTTTCTGTCAATGGCTCTGGGGACACACTTGCGAGACAACAATCTGTCGATCAACGGCTAGCACGCCGTGTTTACACAATGATAATCGCTCGTCGCGATTTCCCCGGCCCAAGCCTCACGATATCACTCGGCATATGCGACTTTCTCTGCGTTGGTTGGTGTCATCTGCATACACAGATGGTTCAAAATTTGCTAATATTCTAGAAATAAGGCATGCTACTGACGATCTCATACCAGAGACATCGAAACATCCTCCTAGAATAACGTGAACAAATGACATGATCATTGGTCCGTTGTCGCTCACTCATTCATGTGTAATTTAGAACTAAGGCTCTCACAGTAGTCGAGCTGCAACACCAGTTCAAAAGCATCTGATCCTCGAAACCAGCATACTGGCATGTGTGCCTTGTTCCCCTACCTGACATGTCTCGGGGACTACGCAGTTTGGCTCTAGAAAAATGGCTGTCGAGCTTAATTAGCTGCATCATTTTATATCAAATTTGTCTTGCCTTTGTTGTCCTAATCCCCATCTGCGCGCGCCTCCGGTCACAAAGACGACCATGGGGCAAGTGGTAGCAGAGGTAGCAGGGAGAGGGAAGCATTATGTTGAAGCCTTGGCATTGGATTGTCGCCTGTCCGACAAGATTGACTGCTGCGATGACACCGCTTGCACATTGACTGTATAAATTGCCTCCCCTGCTTCATTCGGTGCCGAGTACCTCCCTACCCTAGGTAGGCTTGTCTATTTTGCCAACTTCCTACTTGTAACTTGGCATAGCAACGCACACTAGGCACGGCTATTTTTCCGGATTCTCCATCTGATGCGCTCAGTTCCATGTCTGATCGTGATGACCTGGAACGGAGCAGAAGTTTTCGAGATGCATTGCTTGGCAGCAGATGAAATGCAAGCCTTCGAACGGTACACTACAGCAAGCTGGGGCAGGGCATGTTGTTGTCAGGCCCAGCTATGACGTCTCAGTGGAGCTTCTGCTTGTCAATCTACCCGAAATACGCCACAGCTACCCCTGAGGAGTGGCTGGTAGCGCCACATGATCGACAAACAAAAAGATGGGATGTGACCTTGAGTCTGCGCTCATCATGACGATGTCTGTGCCTTCTTTAGGAAAACTCTCGTTGGCCCTTGTTCCTCACTTGCCTAATTTGTCTCCTGAACCCATTCCAGATCCTCATTGGAAAATCTAGGCTTGTCTGTTCAGAATGGGGCCACTTCAGAGAGATCTTTGATTTCTCAAACGTGGCGTTGCTGAAAGCTAGCGCCCAGCTAAGCCCATCCCCGATTGGACTTCAGACGCTCGTCATGGCGCCTTCTCGCATTGAGCAAGGGACGTCAAAGAGCTGAGGCGTCTTGCGGCTGCCATGACGCCAGCCTCAATGCCGCGCCCGATGTGCTGTTGAAGAGCAAGAGCAAAAAGTTGGAACTAGCCTGCCGGCTAAGAGTAGCTTTACAGTTTTACACGACATACACGGACTAGGCAAAATTACAAGCCTGTGGCCTCGCTACGAAGGTGGGCCCTGGGACCTTGCATTCCCCAGATTGCATGGCTGAGGAGACTGGGATAGGATCTTGAGGATTTACTGGACGAACGCGTATTGTGAGGCCTGTGGATCGACCTGGATCGTCCTGGGCAAACGTGTGGTTGATTGCCTGATGACGGGCGGTTGCCCCGCTTATGTCTTGAATACTGCATCTTTGTAGACTTCGTGACCAGGTACGATGACGACAGAGCAGAGTGTCTTGAATCTTTGGGTAAAGAAGATGAAACTGTTTGCAGGAATTGGTTTGTTCTTGCCACGAAGTTGCAATCAAGATGATGCAATTCTATGTGTCGTATGGTGAGTTATCCCGCAACTCGTGGGATATAAGAATGCCTCAGCTCGCCCGTCCTCAACCCCGATAATTTCTTTTCATTATCATCACCAAACACAACAACATTTGATACCCATTACCTATAAATTCTCTTCAACTTACCCTCACACAATACCCCAAAAATTTACAAAAGACCTTTCATCAATCACCAAATCACCCAACATGTCTGGACTCGTCAACAAGGTTAAGGAGGCTCTCCACAGCGACAAGCAGAGTGAGCTCCCCGAAGGCACTCACGGCACCCACAACTCCCGTGCTGCCAATGCTGCAGACCCAAGAATCGACAGTGACCGCGACCACCGTGCCGCTCCTCACACGGGCGTCGGACACACCGGACACAACACGCACACTGCTGGCCACTCGACACACACCGGACACACTACCGGGACTGGTGTTGGAGGCTCAAATGTGACCGGCTACAATGACCCCGAGGGTGTTCATGGACCTCACTCTTCCAGGGCTGCAAATGCTGCCGACCCTCGCGTCGACAGTGACCGCGACCACCGTGGTACTGCCACCCACGGGACTCACGGTGCCGCTACTCACGGTGCTCACGGAACTCATGGAGTTCACGAGACTGCTGGCTATGGAAACACCGGTGCCACTGGCTACAACGACCCCACCGGCACACACGGCACTCACAACTCCCGGGTCGCCAACGCTGCCGACCCAAGAATCGACAGCGACCGCGACCACCGTGGCGCCCCCGGTGCTGCTGGGACTTCCCACTTCGGGTCCGGTCCCGGACCCGCCGCCAACACAGCTGGCCCTCACAAGTCTGACGTTCTCAACAAGGCGGACCCGCGGGTCGATAGTGATTTGGACGGATCCAAGACCTTTGGCGGAAACAAGACTTTGTCGTAAGTAAGTTACTATTACCCAGCAGTTCATCCACTTGCCTGCTGAGTAACAAAATACTAACAACATTAAAAAGGTCTGATGCCACGCATGGAACACATGGAAGAGACCCAACAGATGCTGCTCAAGCACCTCCGTCGGTTTTGCGCCAACACGTTGGTGAGCCATCCATTGAGCATGGCGACCACAGCCACGGGAGGTCAGAAAGGCATGCTTCCACATCCCACCAGGAATCTCACCGTGGGCTGTGAATGATGGAATGAATGTTGTTTTTCTGCAAAATGATATCATAGCGCTTCATTGCAGTTTGCCAAGGAATCATCACCTAGGTTACATATGAATATAATGCTTCACCACCACTTTGTCTTATTGCTGCACATGTGGCGTGACCCTCACTCCTCCCACTTCATGGGCCGAGAAACTTGCAGCTCACACTGCGTCGGAAAGAAACTCAGCTTGCCCCTCACGTACTCTTAAGCGATCTCAAAGGTTATACCTGACCTGAAATTCGCCTTCCCATGTATCTGTACACTCTAGCATCGGTGGCTTTCAACTACACAACTTATCTAATCAAAGACATTATCCGCTGCTTATCGAATGTCTCCTGGAACAAATACATTAAATGCGAAGATCATATAAATGCTAGATCGGTACTCTCCCGGTGTATGCGTTAAGCACGACGGCAATAACGATCTCTTCACAGTGATATATTAGCAACAGATCTGACATTACTGACTGGGTCTACGGAATGAGCTTGGAAAGCATTTGAAGTACAAGCGGGCTGATATCCCACGCATGCTTTTCTCACAACTTGCCTTGATACCCCCCAGGAATACTCCACCATTTACCAGCAATTATCCCATGGCGATGCTTCTACATCACATTGGCCGGTGTGCCATTGTTTGACAAGTCTAATTACTTACTCCACGATCTGGCGTCCGGAATCTGCTGCTAGATCCAGACTTGATATCGACCCCTATTGATACCTAGCAGATCCAAAGTGACTTTGCATTTGCGTACTGATTCCATGGTGAGTGCCCGGTGTTCCTAGGTTGGAGCCGCTGCAGCATACGTACCTCAAGGCCTACACTCAACCTACCTAGGTATGTATGCGCTGCAGGTAAGGGTACTGCTAAATTTGATAATTGAATTACAATATAAGCTGACCTTTTCCAGAAGATTGATAATTTGCCTGTGCAGCTTTCACGGATCATTTTCGGTTAGCTTCCGCGGGCCAGGGTGCAACTCCGCCCATTACTGTGGAATATATACTGATTTCCTCCACTTTAGTGCAACAATTCAACGGGGATGTGGTCTAGTGGTATGATTTTCCCTTAGCAATTAACCGCTAGTATATGGGAAAGGTCCCGAGTTCAATTCTTGGCGTCTCCAGTTGTTTGATATTTTTTCCTTTTTTGAGATAATTTGAACTCCAGAATATACTCGGTTGTATGCTGAACATTATTACTCTCACCACGCTGAGCACAAAACTATTGTCTTCCGGAGAGTGCAGCGATTCGATCGAGCTGACTTTTTATCATGTACTTGTACAATCAAAATTAACACTTAGAGTTGGAAAGGCGTAAGCACTTACTTACCTAGACTTAGGAGAACGACTCCTCACTTGCTCACCCTAGACCTCCTTCACCACATACATTAAATGGATATAGGTATAACATACGAATAGAGAATGCAAGATCATTGAGGAAGATTTGCTCATTAGTCGGTTTTTCTACTCTTTTTTTAACACGCGCCAGATTTCCAGTCGGTAATGTCCTGAACACACAATATGATTCCCACTTGTCGGTGACCATGTAGGGCAGTAAATCTTCTCTTTAAATCTCCTGTGGTACGGCAATTACGATCGCGTTGATTGATTCTCCTTATATTTCAAGATACAATGAGTTTTACCGAACGTTCCTGTTACCAGCAAAAGTTACAGATGGATTATGCAAGATACCTACCTAGGTACATAGCTTATTTGACCGTACATTCCATCCAATTTGCTAAAGTAGAGGAAGAGGAAGCCATGTAGATATTCTCAAAGCGACGGCCACAAACACGCAATTCGTCATGAGTTCGACCTGTCAAGTCTCCACAAACATTGACATCCTGGTAATTCTTCCCGAAGTCGTCCGTCTAGGAATCACACGTATTCCCAGAGGATAAGTAAGCCCCATCAAACGCAACCGTAGCAACATACTCACCTGGGCACTCATAGTCTGGTCCATATCGGCACGCGACACATAGTCTTGCCCAATATGTTGCGCCACAGATTGCGCAGCAGACAGGCATGTCAGGAGACCCCAGCACAATTCTAGCGTAATCGAAGAGTCTCTAGTTGTCCTTCAGGCCTGGTCCATCGTGTCGACGAGCCAGCAAGCCGGTGGTGTTCGATCCCAAGAGGACTAGCTGGGATGAGAGATAGCCCGTGCCATCGCCGAGGACTTTAATGCTGTGGTCCAGCCTATAGGGCATACTGTTTTAATATACCTATCGAGGATACACTTCATGCTGACTAGTTCTTGTATGACACTGGTCTACGACCAAAATTTCAATGGGGGGGGGGGGGGGGGAGCCACATAGTACGGGTGCATGGCCTGGAAAGGAAGGCCGACATCCATGGAATACTAGACGCAAGCATTCGAACAAAGATTACGTCTCTGTGTCCCCGTTGAACCAGGAGGCGGATGGTTGTGAAAGATCGCTGCCCCAAGCTTACGCTGCGCCATACGAAATGACGGGCGTAGAACAGTTATCTTTCTCAGAATATCAAGTTATGCAGATGAATTCGACATCCTCTTGTTTACCTACGGGGGGCCATCGACTTTCCCCTTTGAATCACCAATGTGTCTCGTGGATGAGATGCCATAGGGGAGGGCACATGCAGTGCTTCGAGAATAGGTAGAGCACGCTCCTTCCTCTTTGCGCCCAAAGTCTTCTAGGGTTGTTTACTGAGGCCCCTCGCTATTTGTGCAGTCCGAAATCGATATTTGTCTACCCCTGAGCTGGTCCAACCGAATTATCCGTGAATCAATCTTCCACTTCCGTCAAGTCACTAGCAAACAGCATCATCTCAAAGGCAATATTATACATCACCTAGGTAAGAGGACATTCAGTTGCATACAGCACACTACGATAGATACTGCGTACCAAAATGAACCCGTCAGCATTTCCACCGCATCCAGACTTCGGCTCTGAGTGGCGTTTACGACCTGCCACAGAACTGGACCAGCCAGTCTTGGTCGGGCTTGAGAATCGTGCGTCCTCGCAGCTTTTCCAATACATCTCTCCTCATTCCAAACTTTTTATCGAAGATTACGCTCGTTACTTTATGGAGCTCACCATGTTCAACTTGAGGGACCCGAGAACCGTTGTCATCGTTGCCGAGAGTACAACGCCGTGGATCCCCCGGGGACCAGCCAACGTAGCAAACGAAGCAACAGCTCATGAAGTATCTCTCAGATTCAATGTCGTCGGAACGGCCGTTTGGAGGCTTCCAAAGAACTCTGTTCGAAGTGGCCAATTCGTTGTACGCGACGTCAGTGCGACAGTCTTGCCACGAGTGCCGCCGCACCACCGCGACCGCGACGTTGACCCGTTGAGACAGCTACTTTGCAGCGCTCTCATGCACGCTGGCTGCGAAGAGTAAGAGACAATTGATAGACAATGCCTCCCCCCCTTTTTCCTTTTTTTTTTTTTTTTTTTTTTTTTTTTTTTTTAATTTTTAGTTTTTAGGAAAGCCGAATCTAACGCATCCATCTCTCGAAATAGACATCGATTCCAAGACAAGCTTTGCCTAGATGCGCTCATAGTCCACCAAGACTACCGCAACGGTCGCTATGGTAAAGCTTTGTTGGACTGGGGCAAAAAGCTAGCTATACAAGATAGGGTTGGTATGGGCCTTTTGTGCTCAGAGGGTGTCCTGCCCTACTTTCGTAAACACTGCTTCAAGACTGTTAGAGACTTTCGAGTGCCTTCTGACGGACCGGATCGGGGATTCACTTACAAATGGTGTGTGTTGGAAGAAGGAACAGCGAGCAGAGAGCAGTCGACAGATACCCATGAGTCGGAGGAGGACAAAGTGCTAACGGCCGGCGAGCAGTCCCAGCACAAGAACATACCCATTGAGTGGGATGTGTGACGAAGGTTTGCGCACTTCGATCATGCCTCGAGACGAATATCTCAGGTCGGATTTGCCTGGGCCCTGGACTAAAAGTTGCAGATTGTGTAGTGTTCTCTATAGTTCAGACCAGCGGTAATGGGCCAAGTAGTTGAAGCGCTTCTTTACAATTTATGACGGTACGTTGATTCGATACTGCCTCGTTAGATCTAGCTTTGCTCAGATCAGAGTGACACCAGCCTCCCACTTACAAGGCGGCTTCAGTTCGAGTCTGTGTCCGTGACCCTCTACAAAGTGTTTCTTGCCATTGCCGGAAGTTGGATGCAGTATTACCACAATCGCAGTCTAAAGGCCAAAACTGCAAATTGTGTTATGGCTGGATAATTGCCTGCTGATGAGGATATGAACCATCTATAGCATAGTATCCGGTAGCATGATATCCTTTGGGGATAGCGTATGGAATAGCTCATGGGACCTGAGACGACCTGAATTATACATGGGCGGGTGGTTACGGACATGTCTCATTGCAACAGCCTAGAAATAAGGTACAACAAATCACAGGCTGCGTGAATGTTGGTGGCAGTCCAGGTCTATGAGTATTAAAGATCCGTTCCCTGGCGAGAACACATGGACGTAAAAGACTGTTTTTTGTGCTGATTCCAAAAGCCGGGCAATGACTTGTACAAAGCACTGTACTGTGTAGTGAGCAGCTAAGTCAGTAGGGTCGTCGACTGAGGTCACATTATTGCATGTTGAGTACGAATAAGCGCGCCCCGTTTAATGAATTCACCCGGTACTGAAGGTCTGGTCGACAAAGGATGCACTGTGTGCAACCTCACAAGTACCGCAGTACCTGCAGTGGTTTCGAAACAACGCGCGTCGCATAATGCTTCCCAACTCAGATAGGCTCTGCCCTTGAAATTCTTTTTTTTCTTCAACAATAACAAAGCGAGAAGCCTGAGTGGCGAGAATTGGGCATCGAAGAACTGCCAAGGGGATCCCGTGACCGCCAACATATGCAGGTTATATGCAGGTTTGCACTGGAATGTAACGCTAATGTTCCCCGGGCACGCGGCTACCCTGCTTCACACTGGCGCGCGCGCGGTACCTCACGATCCCACACCATTCACCGTAGAGCCAGGGGCACCGTCATAACCTGGTACCTAGTCAGCCTTACAGAGATCAGGAGGGCGGGCGTATTTTGCATACCTAGTTGGCTGCCGGCTTCCTAACGTAGCTGCAGCTGCAGCTGCTTACCTACCACACCACGGCGGCTAGGGGCTTGAAACAGCGTGCTGACAGGTTTGTAGTGTCCCCGTTCGATGCTTTCTCCCGCAAGAGACAATTCCATGACGTTCGGTAGATACCGGAGCGTCATATGTCGACTGGGTTGAATTCACTATCAGCATTTGACAGCAGGGCACAATGTGGCTCCAAGGAACCTTGATGGTCTAGACTTGTGACTGCCAAGTTTGGGCAAGGAACAGTCGGACCACTCAAGATCATGCGGATGGCATGGTTGTTCCTCGCTACTACATCGTAACAGGAGACCGTGATGACTCCGTCTTTGTTCCGATGGTTTTCCCCTGCACTGGATGCCGGATTGAATACAAGACTTGCACCCGCAGAGGCAGCCGTTTGAACGTCTTGCAGGGCGCCGTCACATTTCGGACCAGATTGCAGTACTGTAAATGTACATAGTACAACAATCGTAGCGAACCTTGTACCAGTACACACTGGAGATCTACACACGAGTACATGCTCTACCCGGCGAGCTTCATTTCACGTCAAAACTCACGATGTCTAGGGCCAGGGCTTCAGCTGATGCCTTCATCAAACTTGGCTCCCGTGGCATCCGCGGCACCCACAGCACCCTAAAAGTTGAATTGACTTTTGAGAGAGACTTCAGACCCCATGCGCTATTCGCAGTCCGCTACCGGCACAAATTGGTACTTCCAATCTTACCTAGATTTTGTCATATGAAGGAGGGGTATGATCCTGCAGGTGCTAGTGGAGAGTCTATTGGTCGCTTAATGGATAGAGCGCTCGGCCATCTCAGACTAGTAGTGGGCGCGGCGCTGATAGATTGTATACCTTAGGTAGGTATACCTACCTAAGGCAAGTATCCAGGTATGCAGTCGTTCCTCAATGTCGACCATGGTGTTTTCTTAAAGGCCATAATCCCTAGTTGGGCCTTTACGTTAGCTTGAGCACAGGGGCATTCATCTCAGGATTGCAGAAGCTGCTGGGACAAGGAGAACACCGCGGG